ATACAAAGCAAATCGTTTATCATGTAAAACTAATCCTTGCGTAAGCAACCGTCTCTGCACCATCACCACGGCCATAATAACTGATGGCACGCATTCCAGTTGTTCTCATTGGGGCGCTATTATTACCCTCGCTTTTTAGATATAAACGCCGCAAACACCACCCGCAATGTCGACCTGATCGGCATCCATAGCGGCGCCACTGTAAATCAGAGTCATGATCACCAGTCAATATAAGTTATGTCCGTCTTATCTGCCCACACTGTCCCATCATGTTCTGTCTCAAAAAACATCATGCAGCTGCCACGTGGTACCATTTTCAGACGTCATGGCGACGATTGGGACATCTTATGTGGTCATGTACGTCATTCACTTATGCGGGGTTTTCGTTTTTGGTTGTGCCTGTGTGGGTGTGCGTGCGTGCGCGAGGTCAATCTTGCGCATCTTGTGCGACGAGGAAACAGCTCAGATTCCGCGCATTCGTTTCTCATGGTTTAACAGCCGGAGGGGCTTCACGACGTACTAAACGTGCTGGCTTAGAAGATTGCTTGACAGTTTTGACAGCAATGACTCCTCTCAAGTATGAATGTAATCAGAATTTTACTGCGAGAAACCTCGATGCCCCCTTTAAGGGTGTCGTGCAGGTAGAATTAGGTGGCAGCACGTACATAGCACGTAGGCGATGACTTTTAACTCTTGCCAACCATTACACCGACACACATTTTCAGTCTCAACTTAGCCACGTACAAGCTGTCATTGTGGCACAGTGGCCGCTCTCCAGTGAATGACTTGTTGAAAACTTTAGGGTGCATAGTTTTTCACTCCAGCATCAAAGGCCATAGCAAAGATGTTCATATATAAGTTTATATCATACATTTTTACTACCCAGCTTCCTTGATTGTAATAATGCATTAATCACCAGTGAGGGAAGTTATTTTACTCCTAGATGCTTTGTTTCCTTATCTGAGCCTTGGCTTCTAGTCTGTTGTTCTTCACGCCAATAAAACATTTCCTCTATTACAGCAGCCTGAGCAGAATGGACCCTGCTGCTGAAGATACCTCCGATGACCTCTTTGCGAGCCATCGAAGCTTGAGCATTAACGCATATTCAAAACTGTCCAGCTTTTGGAATTCTTCAAGCACACGCAGCCCCGTTGCCTCTCGAACCAGGTAGGATGTGGCTTACGCTCTTGTAAACATTAGGCCTATTAGGTCGAAACTGCGCTCTCGCCCCGGCAGCTTGCTGAACTCGGCACACTTAAATTTCCCCAATTTCTCCTCCTATGAACGGCACCAATTGATTACTACAGGCAGTGATACGGGTGATTCCGCCGCATCGCACAAACCAAAGTCAGGCAACAGCGGCGACACAGATTCCCTGCACAAACCAAAGTCAGTTTTGATGGAGGAGAGCGCCAGCAGAAGGTTGGAGATGTTGGCTGAAGATTCACCTCTGCGAATTCAACCAGAACCATCCTTGCCGGTAGTTTTCAGTACACCGGGTCCAACATTTGATCATGCGACACGTTCGGAAGTTCTGTTGAACGGTGCGCAATTTACTCCGATCCCATTTACGGACCTTACAAACAGCTCCGGAGAGGTGACGGTATGCTTTGCGGACTCCCACAGTCATTCCTGTTTCGTAAATACTTTCCTTCAAACTTGTGTCCCTCTCATATCTACGTAAGCGTATCAAATGCAGTTACGGCATGTTAATGTGTAAATGCAGTCTACTCCTCTGCACAAAAAGACTGAAGCATTCCTATCGACTGCCGCCGGGAACCGTCGGACAGAGCATATGTCTCCGGTTACCATTTACAGCGTATGTTAGGTTCCTGCATAGGGTTTTAATCTGCGTATCTCCCGATTTCTGGTTTCGAATCCTGACCTACTGAGCACGGGTTCATAAAACCCTTTTAGTCCGTTCAGTCGCGCCTGCGGTTTGGGAGTGCTCCTGGTCGTGGTCTGAATTTCGCAGGCAGAATTAATCTTTAAAGTCTCCGCAATTAGTTCGATGTAACCCGGATGTATCGCCTACTGTATTTTTGACCCTTTTAGGGGAGGGGGGAGTGGGTGGGTTGAGATAATTGATTCTGCTAACCATCTGAATTATTTGACATCAAAAATCGTTCCTCTTTTCAATACCGCGTGAGTATCCGAGACGTTGTCACATAGTCATCTAATAACGTTCTCAGTTTTCTCGAAAGAGCTTTTACGAAGCGTGATGTTGTGAAGAGAATCGACGTCACACTTACTGATAATTCACCCTCCAGAGCTACCAACAATTTCTTAATACCTCAAAACGGGATCGAATGAAGCTCTTTAGTCAGAAAAAAAACTACATTTCTTTTAATAGGAACCTACTTCTATCTAGCCTAGCCTAGCGTGATCGCTTAGCGTACCTGGCATTGTTTAACGTTTACTACTCTTGAGTTCTGCTGGCCTTGTTTTTCAAAAATAAATGCAGTCAATGCATTGTTCAGACAGTCGATCGAACCCTCTCCACCTACTGACTTCACCTGCCGTGTAACGAAGATCAATATATGAGCACGATTAGGGTTTCTTACCGATTTAAAAAAATGCATACTCCTCTAAGAACTTATAATCAGATCACTACACTTACTGTGGGAGATTATGGTTAGATTGCCAATTCTGAGGATACCAATACTCGAATCCAAGATACTTCATCAGGCAAGAGATAGGGTTTTTCGGAAGTCAAATACGTTCTTGTACCTCTTCTATGTTGGTATTTCGTTCACCCTTTTGAATAGCTGTATTCTCGCGCGTTTAGTAGACGATAGCCACACGGTGTGCGCGCTAAAAAAAGCTGCCGCGGTCATCATCCACAGCCAAGTAATCCGTTGTCGCATACAAAACCAGCCGCTTTTCCTCTCTCCCCTATTCCCCCTCCATACAGCGTGGGAATCCGTCTAGTGGACGGAGCTGTGCCTGGTTGCCTATGTCCATGTAATCTCTCTGCGTATGTATATATGCTTGGTGTACATTCACGGCACATTCATGGTGAGCCTCGTAGCTCAATGGTAGAGCGTTGGCTGCGCAGAAACCTTCCCTGCTGTGTGGGTCCGATTCCTACCGAGGCCACGGATTTTTCGCAACTGGGTCAACTAAATTTACTAGAAACTTACGTACTCTTGCCAGCCCGCCTTCTGTGCACTGAAAGTAGACGTGCTTTTCGCCTCTGGATTCCTTCAGTCGAAATTTGCCATGCTCCATCATGTTGTTTGATAATATGTCACCGGAATTATAAACCTTGACTCAAGCCATCTATCACAGCATAAGGACCGCGGTCCACTTAATTAGTTATTTGGTGTCACCTCTAATGTCCTTCAGGGCTGCCTTCCCTCACCACCTTCGTTCAACGATCTCCTTGATAGAAAGGCAAATTTCTGTGCCGCGGACAGACCCGAAGGCGGTTGAAGGAGTGTCTGCAAATATCCTTGTCTTAGGAGCTATCCTCCCCAATCTGGGTAGACGGTAAAGTTCTTGGACTAGCAAACAGTGTATGCTATCTTGGGTTGATTTTTCTGCCTCAAAAGTAATTGCAACTATCAGATATGCCTGGCCTTTGCCCGACTCAGTCTAAGCCTCTGGAATCAGCCTGAGGTCGACCACAAGAACTACCAGTATACTGGGCTGCCATCGGGAGAATCGCCCTGTGCGGATGTTA